GTTTTGCTGCTTAATATTTTTGTGGAAACCGATTTATATATATATATTAATTATTTTATTTTTTTCAGGATTCAAAAGAGCAAGCAGTTATTTGTAATGGACATCTTTTGTAACATGTCTTTATTGTCACTTTTGATCAATTTATATTAATTTCTTTAAAAAATAATAATAATTCTTACTGACCCCAGATTTTTTAATGGTAGTGTATGTAGTATTGTATTTCATTGTACCTTACATGATCATGTTAGGGTGATAGAAAGGTGACAAAACTAGCATAGCTTTGCAGGAAATGAATTGCCAGGGACAGCGGTCCAACATATGGTTTAGGATCATAATGCATAAATCTTTGAATGCCAAGACTGTCCAATCGGAATCAAGTATTCTAGAGTCTTGCATAAAGTTGACATTGTTCCGCCCTGGACTGAATCCATTTTTTACCCTGTTTCCCATCTGTACTGTAGGTACCGAAGACACCTTCATCATAAATTTTGTGTGTGACCAGAAGGCCAACCCACCCTCTCTGAGGCTTATACAGGAAGAGCTGGGCACAACTACACACGTAACCCACGATGTGTTCTTCGAGCTTTCCACTGCGCTAGCCTGTGAACCTGCTCCTGTGGATTGCCAAGTCACGGGTAAGCTTTCCTGTGCACAAAAACATGCTTTTAATGCTGAAGGGTGTCATTTTCTGCACCATTACTATCACCATTTTGTTACCAAACTCAAGCTGTCTTGCATTTCCAGATTTACAAGGTAGAGAGTATGACTTGAGTGACCTCAGTCTGGATGACGAGTATTACGTTCCTCTGGACACCTCAGATCAGGCCCGCTTTCAAAAGTTTTACATCAGTGTGTGTAAACCGCTGCCTCGTGTCCAGGGCTGCCCTGGTAAGTGTCTCTGGACCGATATTCACAGACTCTTTTGAAATGTCTTCCTGTTTTTAGCCTGGTACTTTGAGATTAATTTTCTGTTTGTAACACCAACCAAGAGCTGGAGCAGTAGTGCTGGTCTGAATGGCCGCACAGTAAACTAATATGTTGTTGGCAGCTGGAGCAATTGGGGCATGTGGCCAGCTGAAAGGCAGAGGTGTAAATCTGGGATACGTGCAGTCCAGCCTGCAGGCAGCGGCAGATGGCTCCATCAGTATTGTTTATCTGAATGGGGACAAGTGCGGTTTAGGACGTTACTCCACACGAATCATCTTCCAGTGTGATGACAGTCCTGTAAGCAAGTGCATAGTTTCTCTCTTAAGTGCAAATAAATTTTTATCCATGGCACTTTCCACAGATATAGAGCAAATTGGTGTCATGACTGGATATGTACATATAAACTATAATCTATCTTGAGATTCACAGTGTGATAGCAATGTCTATAAATGTTTATAGTTAAATAATATTAAAAAAAAAACTAAAATGAATCATTATGTAGCTGCACAGGATTTATGTAACCTTGTTGCTGCAAGTAAAAAAAGTAATCTTTTTCAAGTAACTTGAAACCAATATTTGGAGAAAAAAATATATATTAAGCACCACAACTCTATTCAACATTTATATTAAGAAGAAATAAGTTTCTTTAGCAGCAAATCAGCGTATTAGAAAGATTTCTGAAGGATCATGTGACACTGAAGTAATGAA